CTTTACACTCTTCGGTCTTCACACGAGGAGGGCGTCACACGAATGCTGCCACGGTATACTAACCTTTTTTTATACCCGTTTGACAAAACGGAAATTGAATTCAGCTGAACACACTTTACTGTTTATCACAACAAAGGGCTAAGCAAGCGCACAACACTGACAAGGTATGCCATACAGTACGAGACCAAATGCAACTTCAGCACGTCTCAACACAGTAAACAAAACAAGCGTTTCCTAGCAACGACAACTGCGCTAAATACTAATGAGACAAGAGATTAATACACTTACGATCTGCTTTTAACTTCCGCTGATTGACTGCTTCTCTCAAAGAGTATTTCTTTACACTGTCTTTTGCTAGAACTTAAACACACTTTACTGTTTATCACAACAAAGGGCTAAGCAAGTGCACGACACTGACAAGGTATGCGATACAGTACGAGACCAAACGCAACTTCAGCACGTCTCAACACAGTAAACAAAACAAGTGTTTCCTAGCAACGATGACTGCGCTAAACACTGAGACAAGAAATTAATATACTTACGATCTGCTTTTACTATTATTTACTATTAGTATTTATTTATATAGCTTTTATTTGTATATTTTCAGTTGTCATTTTAATTTTAGTTTTAGTAATTTTGTTATACTTGATTTAAGCTTTTTCAATTTATGAACTTAATGAATTTTAGTAGTTTTAGTAAACAATAAACAATAACATCACTGTTTCTCATGATGTCACATTATATCTTGTAATTGACGTAACTATTCACTCTTTGTATAGTCAAACGAGCAGCTCAGTACTCAGCTGTCTACTCTAGAGGCTGAGAAGGTGGGGCTTATGGAGACTGTATCTCAGAAGGAGGCGGAGCTAGCCAGTTTGGGGGTGGATTTAGAGCGTGTGCAAAGCAGTCTGACCAATGAGAGGGAGAGTGGTGTGAAAGCTGCTGAGACCCTGCAAAACCAACTCAATGAGAAGGTGAAATATTCTGTGTTTACTATTGATTTTAGTTGCCTTGTTACAATAGTGGCTTTGTATGAGTTCAGATTCATTATACAAGATGACAAATGCTGTAAATATCACAAACATGGAGTTTAAAATACCTGTTTTCATTGTCTTTCTATCTGTAGGAGAGTCGTGAGCAGGCTCTGGAGAGCGAGCTGGTCTCTTTGCGCTGGGCGGCTTTGCGGGCAGCACTAGAGGAGGCGGGGAGGATCGTACAAGACAGCCTGAATCAGCTAGACGACCCTGCACACATCAGCTGCACCAGTTCAGCCGGTCAGTGACCAGCTCAAATTACCTTAATCCTTCCCACTGAATATACCACACAGCAGGAATTGCCCTACGAGAGCGTAATAAATATTAAAAGACCTTCTTGTGTGTGTAGATTACCTGGTGTCCAGATGCCAGGTGGCTCTGGACTGCGTGGAGAGACTGCAGTCGGCCAGAGACGGCTTTGTATCAGATAACACGGGTGAATTATATGCGCACACACACACACACACACACACACTCATTTCCCTACTTAATCAGCATTCATCAATGTACCATTCACTCCAGCAGTGTTGCGAAAGTTACAAGATAGCTTTACAAGTTACACATCATTTAAAGTAGTTAAAGAACAGCAATGTTACTCTCTCTTTTAGTTAGCTTAATTGCAGCTTCCTAAAAAGCGTCTCTGTGTGTATGTGCTGTACATGTGGAAGAATTGACAATAAAGCAGACTTGACTTGACTTGACTAAAGAGAATGATATCTTTTAGATAATTCTCATTGTAAGAATTTAGGTAAGATTTTTAAAGCTTAAAAGAAGTCTTATTTTCACCAAGGCTGCATTTATTTGGTAAAGTATAATACAGTAGTAATAGAGTGTTATTTGTTCTTCTGATGGCAAAGCTGAATTTTCAGCATCATTACTACCGCATTTATTATTGTTATCAATATTGAAAACTATTGTGCTGTTTAATATTTTAGTGGAATTCATGATTTGACACTTTAAGTGGATGAATGACACTTTTTTTCAGGATACTTTGTCGAATAGAAATTTTAAAACAACAGCATTTGTTTGTAACAACATTATTTGTTACATTATAAATGTCTTTACTGTCTCTTGATTAATTTAATGCATCCTTGCTGAATATAAGCTTTAGTTTTAACTGCAAAGTTTTAAGCAGTAGTATAATAAAAAAGTATATAAAAAACAAATTTATATATATAATGAACAAATACAATGATCCTTTTTCTAAAAAAAAAAACATGAACAGAATTTATTGATTAACTCATTTTGTAGTCTACTTTTTTATTGAAATGAGCTTTCTGAACAAACTGAAACATTAAAACAAATATCTGAATCATATTTGAAATGACTGTACTTGAGACAAAGGGAAATTATTCTGCCAGGCTGTTGTTTTGGCTCATTTGCTAGTAGGGCTGCACAATAAATCGTGACACATCCATGGTGTAGTGATTTGTCATGCTACAACGCTAACTGTTGGAAAAATTGTCCCAGTACTAAAAAATCAGCACAATTTTAAAGGCAGCTGAGCTACTTTACACTATTGAAAACTTATATCACTCCATCACTGTTCTGCACTGAAAATGCACAAGCTCAAAAAAAAATTAAACTAATAATATACCTTGTAAAAAATGATTCACCATGAATGCATTCAGACTTAATTTCATCACTTTTGTTGAGATGAGAGGCACTCATATGATCGTGTTGAAACAGTTTCTCACTGATATTCCTGTATGTGTGTGATAGATGTGTCTGGACTGGTGCGGGCAGTGACTCAGTTCGCTCACCTGGTGGGCGATGTCATCGTGCAGGGCAGCGCCACCTCCCACATGGTGCCAGTGGAGCAAGCTGACGGTGAGCATGAGACGTCAATCTCCCGAAACGTATTCAAAAGAGCTGATATGTTATCATATCAGCACAGCTGATGCACCTCTATGTAAATACTTCCTTAAAGCCACATTCATTGACATCATTGACACATACACTGTATCGACCAATCAGCATCCAGAACCAGAACTATCCGTTTGATATAGACAGCATAAATGTCATTTCTATTATTAAACTGCTAAATATTTCACAGCACTGCTATATCCACATATAGAGAAACATCCAACACTTTCTGTTTGACTTGGTCTCCATACATCATGAATTTCATTAGTGTCACTGCGGTTCTGTTAATAACTCCGTCGCCGGAGGTCTGTTGGTTTCGGTAGAGCTGCTTTAAAGGAGCATGCCATAACTCAAAACGGCTAATGTGCGGTTCCCACGTGCACGAGCGATCCCGTCACAGGAAATGTGTGTCTGCCCGAGCGTATGTGGAGTGTCTGCAGGTGACAGATGGCTCGTCTGACTGCTTTCTTTGCCTCTGTCTGTCTGTGGGCAGCATTGGCAGACAACGTGAAGGCATGTGGCGTGGAGGCCCTGGCGTTGCTCTGCCAGCTCAAGGAGCAGGAGTCTAATTGGACGGCAGACTGCAGCCGGCTAAGGGCGGCACTGGATACCGTGATGGCCTTGGGCGAGGTGAGCGAGCCACTGAGAGACAGTCCTCGTTTTAGTATAGTAACAGTGGATTGAATAAAGCAGCATGTAATTGGTAGAGAGAATCATTTTTATTGAGTCATTTAAATTAGGCCAAAACTAGTATGGGATACTTTTTTGTGTACTGGTTACTTCATACCGTATGTGATATACTGTGTACTAGCCAGTGTTTAGTATATTAGTATTATTATAGTATTTGTTCATATTTTGAATTGGCTTTTTGTATACTTTCATTTTAAGGTGTCCTTGTTACAGTGTAATTATACATTTAAGTACTAAGTAGTTGTAATTAGCTACATGTATTTACTATATGGTTAGGATGAGGGTTTGTTTTATGGTTAGTTAGTTGCATGTAATTATGCATAATTTGTTATTACTATAGTAAGTACATGTAACATCTAACAAGGACACAGTCAAAGTGTTACCAGCTTTGGGGCCAGATTTACTATCAGTTTGTGCCTGCGCAAACCCTCTTTTGGCGTTAAAAAACTACTGTCAGGATTTACTAAAGACACGCAGTGGGAAATTAGCGCTTAGACACAGCTATTTTTGTGACTCACCTTATTGAATATGCATTTGTAGGAGTTTCCCTTCCGATCTGTAAATTTATGGGAGGAGAGTATTTAAATGAATCATGAAACGCAATTTATTACTAAGATTTGCGCTCGTCAATTCACTGGTATTTGTGGCCAAAAAAAGCATGTCTTAAAAGCAGGCAGTAATTTGCGCTGCTCTTGGTAGATTGCGCTGGTCATTATGAAAATGAGACCTTGTCAGTAAATCACCCGCAAAATTTTCCCCTCCCATCCAAGTAGGTATAACTGCAGACCGGAGATCTCCATTGACACAACCAATAAAATCTTTAGAATCAGATGTGGGGCGGAGTTTGCATGAAGTGGATTGGGGGGAAAAATTGCGCATGCGTGTCATGTGCCTGTCTGTCAATGGGAGGAAGCCACGCCCTAATTTGGAGCTCCCACCCCGTTTTGGAGTTCCCGCCCCCATTTGGAGATCTCCGGGCTGCAGTTATACCCTTCTCCTCCCATCGGCGCTTTTATGGAATTGCGCTCTAACGCAATTTGGCCTGTTTAGTAAGTCTGGCCCTTTTTTACATTTTCAGTTTTCTTTTTAATTTTAGTTGTAGTAATTGTATGTGCTTTTGTCATTCTCTATTTTTTTTTTATATATATATATTTCTATTTATTTTTTTTCTATTTAGTTTTATTAACAATTATAGTACTTTAACTTTTTTTTTCTTCAATTTTTCGCCAGTGCAACTTTTCTAATTTTCATTCAGTTTTTCAACTAATATTACATATTTATTTTATTTTATTTTATTTTAATTATTTCAGTTATCGAAAACAATTTGTAACAGTTTGTCAACAATCCGATCAAATGAGTCAAGAAGGAGGGTTTTTAAAACTTGCAATTGATATTCAGATTTATTTTTCAAGTTGGAATAGAAGGTTAAGGGGCTAATATGTCTTAATATTTGGCACTCCTATCAATGAAGAGTCAAGAAAGAGATTTTAATATCAGATAATCATTGGCCATACTGCAGATGAAAGCTCAAGCAGATTGCATTGTGGGATACTGTAGTCCACAGAGTGTGCTTTGGTTATATGCCTCACATTTTAGCATTCAGTATGCATCATCCAGGTATTCCGTGAGTATGCATGTTATATAAATATGAAAAAGAAATAGATGTAGTATGCTGTTTTGTTTTCTCTGAGCAGAAGTTGCGTCCTCGGGGGCTAGAACTGCAGCAAGGGGAGCTGGGAGATCTGGTGGAGCAGGAGATGGCAGCCACATCGGCAGCTGTGGAGTCAGCTGCCGCCAGGATTGAGGTAATCAGATGACTCCCTGCTTTCCCTGTCCTACAGACAGATGCTTAATAAAATATGAAGTGCTCCAAAATCTACCCCTCTAATGTTTTTCCCCTTTGCTCTCTAACAGGAAATGCTCAATAAGTCCAGGGCGGTTGACACTGGAATCAAAATGGAAGTCAATGAAAGGTCAGGCTGACCAAGTCATGTGTTATTCATATAAATAATGTTTTTACGATTACTGTTAGTTACAAAAGCAGTTTTACAGATTTAATTTGGGTATTCAGTGATCAGAATATCTCCATGCTGAGCTTATTTCACTTGGATAGCGCTGCACGTTTACATTCACCCAGACGCATTAGTAGACCCACCCTGGTGCATTCGAAGCAGTCCTGTGAGTGTTTAAATGTTGCTCTCTGTCGCCCCCTGCAGGATCTTGGCGTCCTGCACAGATCTCATGCAGGCCATCAAAGTGCTGGTGCTGTCCTCCAAAGACCTGCAGAGGGACATCGTGGAGAGCGGCAGGGTGAGTCAACCCATCTAACACTTTCAGGAAAACTCGAGCTTAAAATGACAGAAACAGGTGTTAATGAAGGTGCTGCTGTGTTCACAGGGGGCCGCATCTATGAAGGAGTTCTACGCCAAGAATTCCCGATGGACGGAAGGTCTCATTTCCGCCTCCAAGGCCGTGGGCTGGGGTGCCACCATGTTGGTGTGAGTATGTTAGACAGTGAGAAAATAAAAATGTTTATCATTTTTGGAGGACGCTGTGACATAGTGATTAAAAATCTCAGTAGGTAACAGAAAGCTTGTAGGTTTTTATCAAATCAGATTTATTTTTCCATTGTATTTATTTATTTTTTATACATTCAGTTTTTATTTTTTCTCAAATGCTGTGTTGTTCATTTTAATAGTTTAATTACATTTTGAATCATTAAAAGCATGTGCAATGACTTTAATTCATAAAACTTTATTATTTATTAAAATGTTAATAATAACAGGGCCCTATTAAATCAGTTTTATTTTTTTTGACATGCCCCTTCTTTTTTATGTAGAAATTCTGCTGTACTGTTTATATATTTTATAGATATGTTTTAAGCAAATTTATCATCAACAACTGTGGCTAATTTAATCCATAAAACTTGTAATCAAATGAAAATACAAAAATTGATATACAATAAAACAGTGCCTTTTTATTTTTTGCCATATGAAGTGCTGCACAAAAAAACGTTTACTGTATAAATTAAAATAAAAACCTTTTTTGTGATTCGTTAAAGTTTTAATAAATTGTATTATTGTTAGTATAATTACTTAGTACATTTTACAGTAGAAATAAAAACAGAGCCACTCATTCACTCTTAGATGCACAGAACATGTAGACTTTATATTTCTTTTTGCGATTTAATAACTAAAAGAAATTAGTCCATATCGCAATTTGAAATTGATCGTGTAAAGCTCTACTTTTGATTTATTCATCCAAAAGTTGTCCAATTCTGTGACATTTCGCATTATACTGTAAATTCCATTTTAATGACTGGATTTTGCAGTTCTGGAGTCTGTGTTTTCCACATTGCATAACTCATTGGGCCCGCTATGGTTTGAATCCTACACTAATTTATCTATGAACTATCACCACTGTACTAGTAAAGTTTTTTTTTTTTTTTCTTCTTCTTCCTGCAGTGATGCAGCTGATCAGATGGTGCAAGGAAAGGGCAAGTTTGAGGAGCTGATGGTGTGTTCGCATGAGATCGCTGCCAGCACGGCTCAGCTGGTCGCAGCATCTAAGGTACAACAACAAATTGCCAGCAACATTTGCGCTTGAATGAACTTTAAAGCAGTATAATGACAGTAATCTATTTTATCTCTTTAGGTCAAAGCAGACAAGGACAGTCCAAACCTTTCCCGTCTCCAGCAGGCCTCCAAAGGGGTCACCCAGGCCACAGCAGGGGTCGTGGCATCAACCAAGTCCGGCAAGTCTCAGATCGAGGACACAGGTGAGGTTTTGTTAGACATGTACAGCACATCCTCCCGACTCAACTTTCTCAGACACATTTAGTTGTGCTGCTTATTTGGGAAATTCAGGTTCGAATTAGGCTTGCAACATTTCCCTCATAATTTAATTCCCCCATCATTCATTAAATAAGATCCAGAAGAAAGAAGTAACAGTGGCAGCAGCAGTCTTATTTTATTTCTCATTGACCTCCACAGTCTCATTGCCCCATTTCACTTTTATGCTAAATTTTTTAGCTATGAAAACTGGTTTATGGTGCCCTCCAGAGATACAGGAATGAGCAAGTCTACACAGTCAGGCTCTCCTCCACACAAGCTCTTGTGCTGATGCTCTTCTCTGGAGGCAAAGGCATTTAAACAACACTGACCAGTCACATGGAGTCAGTGACATTGTGTTTCCTTTTATATCCAGACCAGCAGCAGATATTGTGGATGCAGCAGCTAGTAAAAACAGACACTTTTGATTCATTGATGGAGAGTGTAATAAAAATAAAAGCTGGCTGATTTTAGCTTTGAAAATGTTGAAAAGTCATATAAAAATAAAAAACAATGAAAACGTAAATGTATACATATACTATAAATGTATACATATACTATAAATTAATTGTATTTTTATTTAATAAAAATTTATTTTAAAATACAGTAGTAGTTTATTTTTTTCCAATAAACTTACTAAATAAAGGGCAATAAAACTATTATCACTATTACTAATTATTTTATTTTATATGGTTATTTAAAATGTGCGTGTCGTAGCCTGGTGAAATATTGATTTTATTGGACAAACACCTACAAACAAGAAAATCCTCTCAATAGTCTGAAAGCTGTTAGGCATGAACTAAAAGCCAAACAATTTCATTTTTGATAAGTAATGCTGAATTCTCTTCATTTCAGAAACAATGGACTTTTCCGCAATGACACTCACTCAGATCAAGAGGCAAGAGATGGACGCACAGGTGAGAGTGTGTTAAACTGTTTCTCATGTATTTATGCAAGTATGTGAACAAATCTGACTAGGGATGTTCATTTTAACCGTTAACCGACCGTAAGAATTTTGACCGATTAATACAATCAGTTAAACGGTTTAAAAAGTCTTTTATTTTTTTATTTTTTTCAGTAATTTATCAAAATATTTAAAAGGTTTGCTGCATAAAAAATTGCAAGTCGCGTATAAGTCGCATTTTATTATTTCTTTCAGAAATAGGCCTAATGCCGACGCGAAATGTTTACAAACATTATAATAAACACTGTAAACATAGCTAGGCTATTTTAGTTCCCCTCACTCCACAACAAATCCTTTCAATTAACAGTATTTAGAAAAGAACAAGAATTAAAAATATAAGAAGCTATAGCTAAACGACAAGCCAAAACGAATTCATTTAGGCTAAAACGAAACTGAAACCAACGTTGGGTCTCTCATTCGACACAAAATCAAATGTTTCCGTATTCGCAATGTATTTAAATGGCAAATTATTCTTTATTATGTAGCCTACTTCACTCGCGTTCAAATATCCACATAAAACAAAATGTTTTGCATAACATCACGGCGGTACGCTGATAACACTTAACGGCACAGATTTTATTACATATTTAAACTGAGCAGTGTGTTTTTTTCCATATGTTTGAATTTTATTATGATAATGAACAGGCTGCATTGTCAAGGTAGCAATGCTTAACTGTGTGCGCGCATGCGGCGCAATCACTTGAATTTTTTCCTTCTAACAGTGGAATAAACCACTCCTTTTAGTCTTAAAGATAATCGGAATTGTAAAAGGTTTGCCTTTATTTGTGTGCATTCACAATAAAAACAAATCTTTGTGCTTTTGTAAAATAAGCCTAAAGAAAAATAGGATGCCGCTTTCTGCCGACTGTTTCCTTTCACGCAGCACAAAAATGAACCGAAACTCTGCATACTAGGCTACTTGTTGCACAGTTTTTCTTTCATTTTCTTAATTTATTTTTTAAGTAAAAATATATTTCTCATATACTTAAATATTTCTCATATATTTCTATATATATATATATAGCCTAGCTTTATTGTTTTTCTTCGCTCGCAGAAGCGCAGGTGCGTGATGTGATATGATGACCATATGAATCCTCATGTTCTGTTGTTTGCTGCTTTTTGCGCATGTAAAATTAATCCCCGGGAAACAAATGTTAGTATTTTTAACGGTTCACAGACACTTATCCTTTCTAATTTAATGCAATTCTAATTTAAAATAATCTTGTCGGTTAACGGTTAATAATCGGTTAACGAGCGTCGGTTAAGAAAAATAACTGAAATGAACATCCCTAAATCTGACCATTTAACACGTCTCAGGTGCTGGTGCTGGAGCTGGAGACTCGGCTGCAGAAAGAGCGGGAGCGACTGGGTGAACTGAGGAAGAAGCATTACCAGCTCGCTGGCGTCGCAGAGGGCTGGGGAGGAGAGGAAGAGGGTAAGACCCCTAGTAAAACCACAAACATCTGTCTGCCAACAACACAATAGAGTCTGACCATCAGCCAAAACTGCTTCCTCCTCAAAAATCATCCCAGAGTTCCCTAGCGAACAGAGTGGATTGAGATTTTTCAGGCTGATGATGGAGTATCAAGCTAATAAGTGACACAAAGGGTGTGTCGTCGAGTTTGCTCGTATGTAATTCGCTCTCTTTCTTTTTGTGTTGTCTGCAGGAAGGGGTTGAGACTCGTCACGTTCTGTGCAGCAGCCCTACAGACGTGGCGCTTGACGTCTTTATATACACACTATCTTTCCCTTCTCCCTTTTTATTGTACTTTTTAACTCTTTGATTTCTTTATTGTACATTAAAGCCAAATAAAAGGTGCTTTTTTTTCTAACCTGCTCCCTCCCCTGCCCGTGGAGTCTGGAGACGTGAGGAGTGTGACGATATTGCGCAACGAAAGGGGAGGGAGAGGAAGTGGATGGCACACCACCTAGTGGACAGAGAGGGAAGTGCAGACTAGCTGAACTGTCCGAGTATTTCATGTCCTCTTCCTCCTTATACGGAACGGAGAATTTTCCCCATGTAAAACAATCCCGTCTCCCCATGAAACATCCCATGATGCATTGCACAAGGGTGAGTCACCCCATTTTGCAGGAATTGACACTGGTGCTGTGATTCTTTCGGACTCAACTTTCACAAACAGCAGCAGTGTGCGACTTCACACTGACCTCTCAAACGCATTCCTTAATGTCGTGTAGGATTGGCCTCGTCTGGGTCCGTCCTTCTCTAGTCCCCTAGCAGTGGTCACTGGACTAAAAAGAGCAATAGATGATGACCTACTGTGGACTAACACCTGAAAACATTAGCAAACTCAACCAAGACTCACTTTTCTGTATTTAGTATTTTTTATGTTACGCTTTCCTTTGATTATGTTCCTGAGGCATTAATTTGATAGGAAAACCCTTAATAGATTTAATCTACTGGCTTTGAACTGTTCCACCATGTTGACTTATAGGGACAAACTGCGAAATAGCTCATCTAACATATGATATTGTCCTGATGCGTTTCGCCAGTTTCAAGTCCATGACTGAATATGAACTGACTGTTTTTGTGAGACCTCACATCGGGTTAGGGCTCATCGGTTTTGTTTTATAGCTCTACTTAGGTCATAGTTTCTTCAGATAGATATGGCACCATATTGTATCAGTAACGGCCCCTCAAACGGTCCCGTACGGTTTACACACTGTTAATACGACAGTATCTGTTCATTCCTGTTGTCTTCTTCCAGCTCCACATACACGCACCCCTTCACACTGAGGCAAGGAGAGACGTCCGTGCCTTCTAAAAGGGAAAAAGGGTCACATTCCCTTACAAAGACCTTTAAAATGGTGATCTGAGCAGCATTAGGACAGTGTTTTCAATTTGTAGTTTGGTGTTGCGAACTGAGATCATGAAATCAGTAGAGTGTGGTGTGAGAACAGATGTAGCCATCCCTGTGTTCAAGGCTGGTGTGTTTGGTTTGGATTTTTGAGCTTCCCTTTTTAAACTGGATATCTAAAAGGACAAAAATGGTACGGAGCCCCTAAGGGGACACGGTGATGGAAAAAATATGAGATTGGAGGAAAAATTACATTTCACTGTTCTCTCGTAAAAGGGTTGAATTCTCCTGGGAAACTGCCTTTGCTCGCAAATCTTTTGCTTTCACTCAAAAAAGCACAGAAATATAGTTTTTCCTTCTACCTTATATTTCCATCACAACACAAATACAAAAGTTTCTCTAGGAAATGCAAAAGTTTTGCAAGAGAACGCAAAGCTTCTAAAGAGAATCTAAAAGTTTTGCAAGCGAACACAACGTTTCTTGAGGAACGCAGGTTTTGCAATTGATAGCTAATATATTGAAGGAACGCTAAAGCTTTGTGAGCAAACACAAAGCTTCTTGAGAAAAAACCTGGTTTTGCCAGGAAGTGCAACGTTTCTCTAAGAAACACAAAATATTTTGCAAGAAAAGTTTTGCAAGCGAACACAAAGTTTCTTGGGGAACACGGGTTTTGCTATTGAATTCAAATATATTAAATTAACGCAAAAATTAGAGTTTTTTGAGAAAAATGCAAATGTTTTGCGAGCAAACAGAGTTTCTTAGGGAACGCAGAAGTTCTAAGAGCGAACGCAAATATATTGTAAAAAAAAATTCCTCATTCTTTTTTCCATCACTCTCTTTTTAGGAGCTCTGTAAAATGGGTCAAAATTCATTTGAAAAATATTTTGCTTTAAAAAAAATTGTCTCTTTTAGAATTGTATATATTTCTCATTATTTACAGTACAAATATTACCATGATGTATAGCTACTTACAAGTGTACTTTACCATTTAAATTCTATAGTTTTATTTATAGTAATTCACATTAATTTAAGGGAGAATTATATATATATGGGCTTAATTTTCTTCATGCAAAATAGTTCATTTTGGGGGATTTTTTGACATTTCCTGACTGTTTTCATGAGATTCACACAAAATGGAGATGCATGAAGAATGTTAAGTTAAATGCATTGGGTTCAAGAGGTCTGTCCACTTCTGTCAAAGCAATGTAGACCACATAGCCTTGTAGACCACCACTGTCTGCCAGCAGCAGAGCTCGCACCAGGGCTCACAGGGACTTGCAGTCTTGTAGTCATCTACAAACCAGGGTTACCTCAACTTCTCCACAAACTACCAGTCAGTAACTACAAAAGAGAAAATGATTGAGTTTAAGGGCCCTGTAGACTCAATATGAACATGCGTTGGCTAAACCATGTGTGTGCGTGTGTGTTCTTTAATACTAATATAACGTGTGTGTGTGTTTGGATGGATGCTGTGTGACTGAGATATGGTATATACTGTATATCCCTTATGTTGTTATGTTTTAATACCCTCATATTGTTTCACTCGTTGCACTGCTTTGGTCGTTATGTTAAGTTGCGACACTGGGTATTTAATTTCCGTTTTTTGGAGTGTCATCATCACCTCCGGTAATAATGGTTTATTTCACCGTTTAGATTCGGTTGTCTAGTCTTACCAGCTCAGCCAGCCTCTAAACTGCCTCTCACTTTTGTTAATGGAGAAAAAAACAAGACCGCTCAGTAACATTTTGGAGAATATCTTTGTATGATATATACTAAAACTATGTGTGTGAGGTTTGTTTTATTTTTCAGTTTTTAAATAAATATTTCACTCATTGATATAATCACTGTTTTGTCTTGATTCCGCTTGCGTAGACTTTTGTGTTACGTCATATTTGATATTACAGTCTGCATTGTTGTATGATATATACTAAAACTATGTGTGTGGGTTTGTTTTATTTTTCAGTTTTTAAATAAATATTTCACTCATTGATATAAATGCTAGTTGTTTTGTCTTGATTCCGCTTGCGTGGATTTTTGTGTTATGCCATAATAATTGATATTACAGTCTGCATTGTTGAGGTTTTTGGAGGCCAGAGGGAAAAATCTCAATGCAAGCTTGTGTAATTATTCAGATGAAGCAAACAGTGAGCTATTCAGTTATGTAAAATGATTTGTTCAGCAATAAAAACAATGACTGAATCTGTTGACATGCTCAAGATTATCCCACCAGGTGTCACTAAATATTACAGCATGAGTTCAGGCAGGTCAGAGAAGCTCATCTTGTGTTTGTCTAGTCTGAAGCTACATTATAACACTTTCTTTGGCACCGGATTTACGGTTTCCTCTCTCATATTGGAATAAACAGAGCAGCAGCTAAAAACGCAGCATGTTAATATGAAAAAAAAAGTAGATACAAATGTAGTTTATTTAAATTACATCTTTGTTCCTTACTTAACCCTAAATGGTACATATTAGTAATTTTTTAAAAATGTACTTTTGAAAGGGAACCACCTCAGTTACGGTTTTGTACATTGCCCTCATTAATCAACAGAAACAGGACTGTAAATGAGCCTGATATTTCATCTGTGTTGTCCCGGACCAGTTATAAAAAGGCTAACTAAAGTTAGAATAAATAACATGATTTAGCCTATTACATTATTTTGGACCATTCCAATACATTTGGAGAATATATTGGCACATTCAGGTGAATACATAAACAGAGGGCAAAAAATCTTTGCAGTTACCAATGACACACCAGATCAAGTCGAAGGGAGTTGTTTAACCTCTGATGTGGTACATTACATGAACTTCAGACATGTTTCGCTGAGTTTGACAACCAGAGAGAGTACAAACATGTTTTAGTTGTACGTAGTATATTGTGTAGTTTAAAACCTAAAATGTCCCTAAATTATAGCCTATAAAATATTTTGATTTCCAACCACCAAAGGGCATCAATGACTGACAGCTTAAACCTTGACCTCATGACCTCGTTCTCGGCATTTACTTCGGACTCTATTTGTATAATGTTTATGGTCTTTTTGCCCAAGATAAGCGATATTTAGAACTTGTTGATGTGATGTCTACTGCGTACCCCAACCAAAATGAAATAAATATTTAACATGAACCCATATCTAGGATTATTTGCTGAAATTGATTTCAATACAATGAATATTACAATACAAGTCTCTATATTGCATTATAATTCATATTCAAGATTTACAATGCAATCTTGCTCGGAGTGACATGCTTGGAAATTAAATTCAGTCAGTTATTTCTGTTTAGTTGTAAAGCGCGTACATTTTATTTGCTGATGTTTTAATTGACCAAGGAAGGTCCACATGGCTTTTTACTAGTGTGACAGTTTGCATAGGAATTATGTCTTTGAATGAAACTTTGACGTTGAAGTGTTCATTTGCTTCTCTGATGATGTTTGCTGCTGTAGTAAAGATGAATTTTACTCGCTCTAACTTTTAAGCGGGGAAAACGCCCGACTTTAAATAACGTTAACCCTTCACGTGCTAATGATGTTTGCGTTGTACGTATGTACAAGGAAACTTCGGATACAAATGCCTGACTGGTTAGGTAAAGTTGACTCCTAAAAAGACGATTTCTTAATCATTCAATAGAATGTGTGGGAATCACGGCAGTGGCGTTACTATGACGTCTTAACATGAAGCCACGAGCAGTAAATACACCGTTCTAAAATAGAATCTTCGTTTATGCAGATTAAAGTAAAAAGGACGGTTTGTGCTACAAAGTGTCGATTAGGAGAAAGGAGAGGGCAAGAGAGTTGAGTAGCCTACTACGAGCAACTATTGACGAAATGTAGCTATTTAAAAACCGCCCAGTGCAATAATTAGAGCTGCATCTAGTAGTGCAATGCAGTGTGTAAATTTCAGGCGACTACCTGACTTCAGTCAGCTTGCCTTTAGCCAGCGTTTAGGGCAGGTTTTCTTTGGCCTAACTGCTGCTTTTGGTCGAAATGGTGGGTTAACTGTGCACTGTGGGTATA